ATCTATATTTATAGCCCCTCAGGCCCTCCGCTTTAAGGGTGAATTTAGGAATTGTGGAGAAAATTATTTTTACTAACTAGTTGCAATTCTTTATTAACCATCACATATTCCTAATGTTACATTTCTGTAACCATCACTATCTCATTGTACCACTATTCTCAAGGCCTTATCTTTAAAAATTCTCACCATTTTAGTTTTCCTCTTGCCGTGCCTTCTAGTCTATAATTTTTCACTCTTCACATTGCTTAAAACACTCTTCTATAACTACCTAGTTAAATCTAGTGCTTGGTCTGGAGTACTGAATTTAAAATAGGCCCCCCAAAATGGGGAGATGGGAGCTGTATAGCAGTCTCTCTTCATGCTGAGATAACCTCTACCATTTCCTACAGAATCCTTCTCAAAATAGTCACAACATTAAAGAATCTATATTTGTAGCCCCCAAACCCAAATTTAGATAGGTATTTTTCATTACAAAAGATATACTACTCTTTCTTACCTAATATAGAAAAAGGCAGGAACTAAAGAAGTTGACTACATCTTAAAAAGAGAGGCAGCCCCTTTAAGACCTCACCCACAGAATGGTCAGGAACTCTTGATCCTTCCCACTATGGCATCAGAGAGCAAGCACCAAACAGACAGACTGTAGAGAAAAGTGAAGTTTTCTTGCCAAACTTCATTGAAATCACTTTCAATAATCATGGTTTTCTTCTTTTGCCTTATTGTGGCTTTATATTTTATTTTAAAGAAGATTTCAAAATCAAAGCAGAAAAAGAAAGCTCAACAACAAAAGAAAGATATCTAAATCATGGATGAAAAATATTGGGTCTGTCTTATTATTCATGTTTGTATCAGGAGATCTTTCCAGATGAAACCTAACCTCTCACTTCAGTTTGACATTCTTATCAATCCAAGATTCCCTAACCCTCAAGGATGCTTTATAGCCATGAGCTGAATCTTAGGGATGGGTCATGATGTATATTTCATATATTATTTAATCTTTTTAAATCAAAGTTCAATGGATAGTCTTATAAACAGCATCAAATTTCCCCATCTTAAAATAATTGTATCAAAGGGCTATGTAAAAATATCCTCAATTTTCAAATGGTTCCATCAAAGTAGTCATACCGCAATAATGTATATCTGCCATAACTAGTATGGCTATAATAATAGTCTCTATGTAGACTTGTATTCATTCTTGTATGTCTCATGTGTTAAGATGTCAATTTCTTGCTTTAATTACCATATCATTACAATTTTGTCTTTGTTCATGTTCTTGAAGGATGGTCTTTAAGTAATAACTGTTTATCAATTGATTTTCATGGATTAGTTTTTCTCCAAAACTCCCTACAGTATTCTATGGCTGTTTGATGTTGAAGCATTATGCAACCTAATTTTTCTCTGCCTGAGTTATTTTTTAACTGTATTTTCTCTGGGGATGATTTTCCCATATGACAGTAGAAATGGTGATTTACAGTTAATTCCTCTGGTTGAAAGAGATTGCTTAGAATGTGGGTGAAATGTATCTTCCATTGCACTTCCCCTATCCTTATCCCCATCCCTATATGGATGATGGATAGATCGATGATAGATAGACACAGAAACTTGCAAAGTTATCGATATAATGCATATTTTTTCTTTTAATAATTATCTTTGTCATTTTGCAGGAATAGGCCTGAAGCTATCTCCGTATTTACATATTAGTATGTAGTATCAATGTGGTATTTTTAAAGGAAGATATTGTATTTCAAATTTCTTCAAAATCATGATTAGCTTTTTTTCTCTTTCCCTTAAAAAAATCTATGTGAAGTATCCTTGGAGCTCATCCTGGCAAGGGATCCTTCCTGGACATCCTGTGTATTCATCATCACAATTCTCTGGAAGAAATTTCAAGTAAGCTATCTCTTTAAAGAGAAATTAAAACTTGTAAATACTGTAAAAAAGAAACAACATCCCACTTGGAAAGAATTTTATTGAATAATTTTAATTTATGTATTTATTTTTAAATAAGACATAGATTTGCATGAAGAAAAGGTAATAGTGATAACAATGTTTCCAACTGTGAATATCTATATAATTGTGTTTCTCCCAGGGCAAAAGATTGCTCTTTAACATATTTCCTACGGAAATATTCAGCAATGATCAAAATTAATCTTTAAGACTTTCTAAATGAAACTTTTTCTTAATTTAAAGATCATAATAGTTTCTCAAACTTTCAGAGAAAGAACATAGGGAATATTTCCTAGCAAAACCCTAGTTTGAGTGAGAAACAAAATAAAAGAATAATAGTTTAGTTTTTTCAGTTTTATGAGGATATCATTATTTTATTATGTGTGCCATATAAATCTAATGTGTCTTCTGAATGACTTTATTCAGTTCTGAAAAAATATAGTCATAACAGTATATCTCATCATAATATTTATGCTACCTGAGTGTTTGATTTTTTTAAAGTACTCTAAAACATTTACTGTTTATTTTTCATTTAAAATAGCTCTATGATTCATGACTCCAAAGAGAACAGTCTTTACAACTATACACCTCATAACAGGGACAGCTCTTGGGGAACAACCAAACCTGAAGCAAATTATGGGAACAAGTATTCTTCAAGTATGCACATGAAGTCACTCTTTGTATGTATCATGCATCTCAATATTTATCTATGGATTTATTACCATAATTCAAGTACAGATAAAATAAAAAATATTAGGACTTCATAATATGAAAATGATATGACAATCAGTCCAAATAAAGTTTTGGGAATTTTGCTTTATATGACTATCATTACTATTTCATTTCTAAAATAGAATTAGGAAATATGAGTCAAATATAGTGTACATAATATTTTTATATATTAATGCATACATAAGTATAGATACATTATGTATGTTTATATAATTTTTATAATAAAGTTTAGTATATAAAATAAGAATTTTAAATTTATAAACTTTAGAAAGGAGATTTGAGATCAAAAGAGGACCTGTTAAATGCATGCTAGTAATTCAGAGATGAAACAGGTCTTATGTCATTATAGTCATTATAGTCATGAAATCATAATTTAACAACTTCTTATATTGTAGTGTAGTTTATGTTTTTGTTTGTGTTGGTTTTCGTACCAGAGATCGAACTCAGGACCTTGTGCTTGCCAGGCAAGCATGAGTGTAGTTTAATATACTAAATATTACATTGACCAAGTTAAGGCTGAATACAACCTAACTGCTGATCACCAGTTATAAGACATATTAACAATTAGCACAAAGTGCACACTGGCTTTCTTTGCACAGATGTTTAAAAAAATAATCAGAGTAAAACTGTGAGGTGAATTGCCACCTAAAAGTTATCTTTATAAATTTTCTTGACAAATGTAACAAATTGTTGAAAAAATGGAACGTTAACAGTGTTTGTCAGGATAATAATTTGGAAAAGTGGAGAAGTTTTTGTAGACCATGTGGCAAAATAACATTCCTTACAAAAATCCACTATGAAATGTGTGACGTCACAGAGATAAATTATGGAAATTTAAATGTGGAGTTCTAAGAATTTTAATTATTCAAGAAGACAAAGTGCTAGACATATGATTAAATAAAAACTAATTTTCCAGTGTCTTTAGCACACACTTGATGTCCTATCTATGTGGACCAGTGATAGAAAACAGAACTGGGAAAAAACTGGGAACTTTTAGAGAGGATGTGAAATTCTGAAAGAGAAACAAATAAGAGAGAATGGTATGGAAATCTTTCTAAGTCAATAAATGTGGAAATCTAAGAGAAAATCTGAATAAGAAAAGTGAAAAAAAGGAGAGATGATTGTAAAGTAAAAGGTAGATGATTAGAAATAAAGAAAGGGATCAGGGAGGAGGGAGAAAGGGGAGAGGCATAATGTAGGTGAAAAAAATCAACATATGGTATGTGCAAGTACCAATATACCAAAATGAAACCATTATTCCAGATTACTAATAGTCACTAATAAAATAAATTTTAAAAAGAAAACTAGAAGGGTTACTATTGAGAATGTGGAGTGAAAACTGGATAGATTTGAATGCAGGCTGCTTCAGGATCAGTTTTGATCCGTGTATTAGTTTTGTATTGCTAAATAACAAGTTTCCATACACTTAACAACATAAAACAACATATATTTATTATCTCACAATTTCCATGAGTCAGGAGTTTGAATATGGCTTATTTGAGTCTATGGCTCAGGACCTTACAAAACTGCAGTCAAGGTATCAGGGAGTTTGCATTTTCTAATTTTTGTATTTTTAAAAATTCTTTTATTGATACATTTTAGGTATACAATACATTTAGATTTCTCATTGGGAACTTGTACATTTACGTGATTTATCTTGGTTCTTACTTTCTCCCCATTTGCTGCCCTCCCTTCAACCCTCCACCCTTCCCTATTTACAAAGACTTTGTTTTCATTTCTCATAAATTTTCATTTCCCTTATATCCTTTCCCCTTCCCCTCCCACTTCCCCTAAACATTTGGATCCTTTTCTTCCTATTTCACAGTTTCAATTATTCATTTTAATCGTTGGTACATTTTAGGTATACAATGACATTCGTAACTGGAAATTTGCACCTTTACATAATCTCTGTTGGTTCTTATTTTTCCCCC